TTTTTTTTAAAAAAAAAAAAAAAAAAAAAAAAAAAAAAACTACGTCTATAAAATTTGGTCAATTTAAAAAACAGAGAAATGTAGATTTCTTTGGGAACCTACCAGTTACGTTTGCCTATACAACTTTTAGCATGAAGCAGGCATTGCTTTAAGTGCTTTTTTCACATTAACTATTTAGTTCTCATAATATCCATAGGAATGAGTCCTGCTGGTTATGATTCTTTCCATTTCACAGGTGAGGAAGCTGAGGAACAGGAAAATTACATAACTATGCAAGACCACACAGCCAGCAATTTGAAGAGCTAGAGATGGAGATCAGTACCTGGTAACCTGGCTATAGTTATCATACTACACTGTTCCTTTAAGCTTATACTGAACTCACACCAAATCCGACAGTTCAGGTATGGGGGGAGGGTCTTCAAAAAGGGATGGGAAAAAACTATGCATAGATTTCATTTTTTTTGCCCAAAATAACATTAATTCCATTTCCCATAAAGTTTTGAAGTCCCCTCATTGATCCAGATCACCTCTCTTTATCAGACCTAGCATTAAAAAGAGATGTAGCCATTGAAATTTAATATATCTAAACTGTGTATCTGTGTGTGTGTCCATGCTCACATTTTCCCAAAGAAGTAACTGTCTCATAGCACCAGAGTAACAATTGCTTCTAACGAGAAGCCATACTCATCACTAAATATTACAAATTTCTAGATAGCAACCAAACAGAAAACTTTGTAGACGTCTCCACTGGCCCACAGGGAGGCACTTTTAACAGACAGTAAAGGGAATTTCCATGGAGAGGGAATTACAGTTTACCTTGGAAGCTTCACACTGTGGCAGAATTCTTTCTTTCCAAGTCCATCTTGTTGCCAAGTAAGAGACAGCAATGATCAAACAGTGTCTTTCCCGGAAAAGGGCAGTCCCTTCGTCCTCAGACGTAACGGATCTTTGCCTTACACAACACTTCTGTAGACTCACTGGAAATTTGCTGGCTGACCGAGGGTGTGCTAATCCCATCTACAGTTGAGGCCTCAGATTCACCTTGCTTCCCCCAAGCTGAGAAATGATTATGAAACTGGCATTAAGAGCAACTGTCTTCTGGTCTTCAGATGTTGCTTAACACATCAGCAGAACAAGAAATATAAACAGAAAATATGGGTATATGGATGAAAAGAGATTGTGAAATGGAGGTAAAAAACAGAGGTAATTGCATAGTAGGAAGAAATAAAGTCAGATAATAAACGTAGCATCTAGAAAAAGATGGGTGGTCACTGGAGCACTTATTTTACACAATGGGCCAGTAACGGTGTGACATATTTTAAATTATCATAAAAGCACATAATATAAAATGCATCATTTTTCAAGTCCAGAGAGCCAAACCTGCTTACCTATAGCACATCAAGCCTATAACCAGGTACAACAATTTCCATGGAATTCTTTCCTCATCCCAAAATGTGCTTTTATTTATGATAAACCCCTTATCGATATCACTCATACTGGTTCTGCTCCCTGACTGATGCCTAACAGCTACTAATTATGAGCAGTGTGTCATAACTTTTCAGTTTTAATTTCCCTGTTAGCTTTTTGGGCATTCTTTCTTAAGTTAATCTAATTAGAACAGAACAGCATTTATTTCACTGGAACTGGCTTTTGATTCTAAAATGGCTTTTCGATCTGCTTTAAAGAAGAAAAACAGTAGATACTTGGGAATTCTAATGCTTTTCCACAGTCCAAAATCCTCTGACTTGTAGATTGTTCAGGATCACTCCCTATTTATAGGAAAGACTTACATTTATCACTCATTGTAATTCTATGTTGCTCAACTTTTTAAATTTAGTTTCACATATTAAAAATTGTATTAACTTTAAGGATTATTTTTTAAAGCTTATTTATTCTATGAGTGAAAAAGACAAAGATATAGCACCCACAACAGGGTCCTGACACACCCCAGCTTCAGCCAGCCTGGATCATGAGCATACATTGCCTGGTACACTCAGGGAGGTTTCCAGATGCAAACTAGTAACCCACTTCCCCCCATGTGGGAGTACCTTGCTAAGTGTCATGTTGCACTGCTGCACCTCTAGTCTGTCTCCAGTCTTTTGAAAGGCTGGCTATTGCAATGTATTTGGAACATTAGGAGGAATACAGACCTGTAATAAAAAGCAGTTAGGTTTTTTGTGTGTTTCCCAGTAGGACTCAGGTGATGTTCTCAGGGCACTATGGCATTACATTCTGTTTTACAAATGGCTAAAGGTTTTACCAGAAAAGAATAGGAATTTGGAGAAAGCCACTGGTGCCACACAAACATAGGAATCCCACCTCCATCAGTCCTATTCATCCCCAACTGACTGGCCAAGTGAACTTCTGAGCATCTACAAGTTGCTTCTGGTTTAAGTTCTCCCTTTAGAGCCTTTTTCAGTCATTCTCTGAGCGACTCACCAAGTCACTTTTGTCTGGTTCTCAAAATCAGCCTGCAGATTCACTGGGTAGTTTTCTGAGCCTTTTGGTAGGGTCTTGTAGGGACTTTCAACAAGCAATGCCCAAGACTCCTATCCTGTCGGTCCCTAGTTGCAACGTAAACCTCTCAAATAAAAGTTGCCCGGGTGCCTTGATCCAAACATCCTTAGATTCCTCCTGCTTTCCTCCCTTGATGTTTTCATCTGCTTTACATCTTTCTGTCAAAATCCCCACTGATCTCACAATACTTTTCTTTTCAAAAGTATATACTTCATAGAAAAAGTCTAATTTTATAATAAAATGATAAGTTCCAGTCTAGAAGTCCACTATACCATGAAATTTCTCTCTATTAATTTAGATTCACATAGGTCAGAGAAAATTGTGTATTGTAACCAGGCTGCCATTTTTTAATGTCAGGTTTATTAAAATTTATACATTACAAATTTCTTTCTTAGTCCTTTGAATGAATTTTGATCAATGTATATAGAAGGAAAAGCACTACTATAATCAAGCTAAAACATTTACTCATTTACTAATTCTTGGCATGTTGAACTTTTTTTACAATTAATCTCCAACTCTTTCATGTCACTAAGGCCTGAATTAAGGAAAAACAATCCTACTTTCAACAGCCTTTCTCCACTTCTCAAGGAAAAGGGGGACATATTTTCAAGAACTAAATAAATAAGCATTTAAGCATTTGAACTAATCAAGACTCTTTGACAACTTATATATACCCAAAAAACTTACTTAGCTATAGAGAATCTTACAGCCTACCAACCATGAATTTAAAAAAAAAAAATAGAATACTTAATACAGACTTTCTTATAATTTCATCCTTTGTATTGTTTTTTTTAATTTCAAAAAAGACTTGTAATTGTTTGTATAAGAAAGACCTTAGGGACCAGCAGATGGCATAATGGTTACATGGCTGGACTCCCACGTAATTGATCATGCTTCAAATACCGGACCCAGCCACTTAAAACTCACACCGGGCACATATGCATGCATGCCCAAAATCCTGAGAGGAGAACAAAGGAGAAAGGATTGCAGCATGGCTGTCCTCTCTGGGGGGCGATTTCTCACTTTCTGTCTCTATTTCTCTCTGTCTCTCCAGCAAGCGCACGTACCCAATAGCAAAAATCTCTCTCAAAAAAAAAAAAAAAAGAAAGAAAAGAAAGAAGAAACACCTTATACAAAATAACAGTGATTTTGAGGATTCAAAATCTTTTCATGTGAGAAATACTTTAAGTCATTGATATTTGAGATAATATTGTAGCATAACCTACATATACAAACATATTTTTATATGACTGGCAATATGATACCTCAAATCTGAATTAATTCACTTCAAAATTCCAATTGTGCTAACAGCAGTTAAGTTGCCCTAAACAATTATTCAAGAACACTGTAGAGATTATAATTCTCCCAAGTAATTTTTTTCAAAAGCATACAGTCTTGGGAACCAGCAGTTAGTATAATGGCTATGTCGCTGGACTCCCACGTAGTCAACCGCGGTTCGCGTCCCAGACCCGGTGGCTTAAAACTCACCCCGGGCACGTGTGCGTGCGTGCCCAAGATCCCGAGAAGAGAATGGAGAAGGGATTGCGGCGTGGCCATCCCTCCTGGGGGGTGATTTCTCACTTTCTGTCTCTTTGTCGTTCGGGCAAATGCGGGCCCCCTAAAGCGAAAAAAAAAAAAAAAGAAAACCTCTCCAAAAAAAGAAAAAGAAGAAAAAAAAAAAAGCATACAGTCTTATATGGGCAAATGGAGGGAAACAGATGAACAAAAGGGCAGGGTGAACAAAAGGCTTGCTTTAAGATTTTTTTCATCAATTATATAAATAGAGACTTGATTTAACTTGTACATTTTCTCATGCATTAGAATGAGAGTGAATAACATTAAGTAGAATTCCTTTAAGACAATAGATTCCACAACCCTATTCTAAACCTTCCTTTTATTCCCTACATGCCACTCAAGGTAGTCCTTACCAATTATCCAGTTGTTACTTCAACATTTCAGACTTACCGTGGACAAAATGTCCTATCCTCAATCTTCCCAATGTGAGAAAATACCATTAGTGACCACACAATTGCCTCAGCCAGATACTTAGTTGTGACTAATTTCTTACCTCACGTTAAGTCCATTTGGAAAGTCTTTGTCTTTAGCTCCAAAACACAGAAAATTGGCCCATGTGATGTTCTATCTTCACCACCACCGATCTCAAGCCATCATAACATTGTAGTTCTTCTTTATTTATAAAACTCTTATGTGCGCTCCTGGCAACTGCTCTCATCCATTGTTTATAGAGTAAGAAGAGTGATTTTTAAAATACAAATTGGATCATGTCACCCCTGAGTACAATACCCTCAATGACTTCTCATTTCACTAAGTTAAAAACTATTATGTTCCAGCTGGTGATATAGTGGTTGGGGAGGCTGGAATCCACACGGCTGACTGCATGGTTTGAGTTCTGACTGGCAGCTTGATAGACACTCTGGGCATATGTGTGTGTATTCCCAAAATCTCTAGAAAAGAATGGAGAATGGATTGTAGCATGGCCACTCTCCTGGGGGTGGGGGGGGTACTTTCTCACTTTGTCTCTCACTCTATCTGTCTCTGTAGTAAACACATATGCCTTCTAGAAAATTTTTTTAAAAAAATAGCAACAACAACAAAAAACAAACAAACAAAAAAACACTATGTTCCTGCTGGTCACTTAAAGAGATTTCCCGTAATAATGAAAGTTTTTGTGGACATAGGCATTCTGTTTCTTTTTCTAATAAATGATTATAATAAATTCACCAAAATTAACATATAAAACCTAACATAATTCTCATAATTAATGGATAATTTCATTTCATTTTTGTGAAGACAAAACTCGACTTTATATAACTTAAAAGTTACCAAAGAGTTAAGAATAATTTATGTTTAACCTAATTCATTTTCTCAAATACATGATATTATTGATTGTACTTAGGAAAAAGGGAAGGGAACTAAACTGAGCTCTGACTGAACCACATGAGGCTGATTTTCAGAGAGCACTTGCACTTGCTGGAGAGAGAGAAAGGGAGAGAGAGGAGGAGAGGGAGAAGCATCCTCCATGAGGAATGATCAAGCTGCACTCCCTTCTCTATTTCCCCAACCTATCAGAATTTAGGGCATGCAAGCCACCAGGTCTGGGACTTGAATTGTGCCATTGGCAATGTAGGCTCTAACTCTCTTAACTACTAGGCCAAAGGGGCAGCCTGAAATTATTTTTATATATCAACATCAACTATTTCAAAAGTTTTAAACTCGTATGTATTCATATAAATAACTGAACCCATGTTAACTTTTAAAATTTATTCTATAAGAGACAGAGTGAGGGGCACCCCCAACAGGATGTTCACATTGTGATCCAACCCCAATCTTAGGCAGCCTGGATCATGGGCACACATGTGTATACCCAGCATGCATAGGGAGACCTTTAAATACAAACCCAGACCTCCCTTGTGGGGAGCATTACATTACCACTGCACCACCATCACTGGCACTAAACCCTGATCATCAGGAAGGTGGGAGAGGGCATAAAACGAGGAATAAAACTGGATTTGTTCTGGCTTCCTTCTTAAATGTTCAAGGAAATTTAAGACAAATTGCTTCTTTTCTGGGCCTAACTGGCATGGCCTGTAAAATGAAGTGACAGGATAGTAGGTTTTTGGGCCATCCTTCTTCTAAAAGCCTGTGACACTATCACTTCATCTTATACCACAAGAACATCAAAGAAAGAAATGTATTCCTTCCCATCAATAATCTCCTTTGCCTTTGGCAATTATTCACTCTATTCTATATCCGCCCAAATAGGTTGGAATAAAATAGCTTTAGTTCCAGATTCAGGAAATAAACTCTCCAGCAATTGGTAAATTTTCTTAAATTTCCTTGAGGGCTGGGGAACTACTTAAATAGCTGTTGTTTTCTAGAGAATTAAATTCAGCAATATAAAATGAGGTCATCTAATGGTTAATATATTGAGACATAACTAGGGCCAGACATCCCCATTTTGAATCTTGGCACCAACGTAAAGCAGCTATGTGACTTAAGCAAATGATTTTATCTGTTTTCTTACCTGTAAAATTGGGATAATAGTAATACCTTCTTGTGTTGTCAAGAGGATTAAATTAGTTGTTAAAATGTGTTTGTTCATTGCTTGACAGCCATTCAGCTCTGTACAAATGTGATTGCTTAGCTGTATATTAACTACCAAAGGTAGATGACCATTATGACAATGTCAGATTCTTCAGGCATTTTATTGCTAATGGTAAGATAACACTTTCATTAAAAAAAAATTTATTGAAATATATTATCTTGGCATAATCTGTTTCTAGAAAGAGGTAACATCCAAACATATATTCAAAAAGCAATTGAAAATCCATTGGTTCAGTTCAGTTCTCACACTTGACATAAGAAATCTCAATTTTTAGTACATTACCTGAGCAACTATCTGTTGGGGGAAAAAAGAGTGGCTGATGACATGTAACTAACTATATAACGGTTTTTCTCATCTATTGCTCTTAATTGGCAGGGAGATTCTGTATTCGACCACCTTACCCAGTCAATTACTTCAAATGTGGAATAAGCATACCAAGAAAGGAAAACCTGACATCAAATTTCGGTTAAGGGAGTGAAGCTCTAGAATATGAATAGAATTTTCTTCTGAAATAATTTTCCCATGTGGAATTAGTTTTAGGATTCGACCTCACTGATTAATGAAGAAAGCCCACACAAATTAAAATGTTTGCATGTAAAAGGATTTTTTCTTTCCGACAACAAAAAATTATCGACTATATGCATGCTTTGAGCTCTGGCACATGTATAGGCCCATCTCATTCTAACTGAAAAACATTTAGAGCATATTTTTTGGAGATTTATTTCAATTAGATCAAATCATTATCCTTGAGGACATATTGCTGAATATACTACACAGGCGGTAATACAAAATTTAAATGGATAATATAAATTATCTAATAGTTAACATTAAGTTAATAAGACATACCAAAATTACCCAAAAATACACCTTCAATACTCAGGGGCTTTATTGAAACAGATACCTAAGGGGAGATTTATACCAACTTTAAAAAAATACATAACAAACATTGTTTTCCAACAAAATTTATGATACCAGTTTTAAGTTACCATTTCTCTTTATGGGAGGAGTCAGTTTAACTAGAACATAATAATCCCAATTCTTCTGGTGTTGGGTTAAAGTCAGCCATAAAGGGACTGGGATCCAATTTTATTTCATCATCCTTAGAAACTGGTGTAAGCCACACTGATTTCCTAAAGAAAAGAGACAGAGAAAGCAAAGATTGACGGGCCTTTCTGAGTCTAAACTTGAGGCCCAGTTAGTTTTACCAGTGTTTAAAACCATGATCATCTCAGTATGGTGAGTTCGAAACAGGGAATAGTGCCAGCATACAGTACCTTGTAGGTAATGGCAAATTCTTAGTATAAGATTTGGGCAGAGGGTCCAGCAGCTGGTGCAGTGGTAAGGTGGACTCCCACATGCAAGACTGCGGTTTGAATCCTGGACTTGGCAACTTGAAAATCATGCCAGGTATGTGTGCATAGGTGCCTAAAATTCCAGGATAAGAATAGAGGAGAAGGGATTGCAGCATGGCCATTCCCCCTAGGGGGGGATTTCTCACCTGGGAGGTGATTTCTCACTTCTCTTTCTCTCTCTCTGGCGAGTGCACATGCTCTATGACAAAAACCTAACACACACACACACACACACACACGTACACACACACAGAAAGATTTGGGCAGATATGCTGATAGAAAGGTAATTATAGACAGTCTCCCATCGTTTATGCTTCAAACACTGAGTAGAAAGATGAACGACCTTAGATGATGTGTAATGCATGAATTAGTAAAGTACTATGGTAACCAATAAAATAGACTTAGTCAAATGGATCCTAAGAACAATAAATAAAAACCCCAAAAGTTCAATCCGATCCAGTGTGGTAGTAGAAATGATCGCTTTGTAAGTGTGAGCAATCGTGTGTTATATGCATAAGCAACTGCAAAATTCATACACAAAGACCTAATTGTATGCTTTTGTTGGCCCAGTCTTTTTTTCTAAAGAATATATAAGTTGCAAATAATTTAGTCATTACTATCAAAATAGGAATACCTAGTTATCACTATTAATGTAATAGTCTATGGAGAGGTGCTAGCTCCAGGACCTTTGGTCAGAACTCCACATCACTCTAAGCACTGAGTAGTATACAGGAATAATAATGCATGTGTGAGTGCATGTGTGTATCATAGAATCAAGGAGTACTCTATAATTAGGGTTCAGCTGCTTCCCAGCGCATCTCTAAATCTCTCAGTCTAGTTTTACCTCCTGAAAATAAGTAAGAGAAGATCAGGAATATTAGTATTGGGAAGGTACGTAATGTCATTGAAATTTACACTTACATATGGTTAAAGTAGTCAATATAATTGGATGTGTATTTTACCACAATAAAAGTAATTATTCTTCCCCCCACTAAAAGAAGTACTCTGGTCATGTTAAGAGAGACTGCACATCTCTGAGCTCTGAACTCTTTCTTTAATGTCAACTATTTCCATATATTAAACACAGATAGACCTAGTTATATTTCGGGTGGTTTTCAAGATTTGTCACACAGATTTGTATAATCAATGTAAATATTTCAGTGACATGATTAAAAAGTCATGCCACTGAGTCTCAAAGTTCATGTTGTTCCCTTTGGGGATTCATTATGTCATTTCTACAAAACTGCAAGTGAAGTGGATAGTGATTAGGTTACTAAGTCCCTCCTTTACTTCATTCTTCATGAGTTAACATTACAATGAAGAACTGATTTTTCTCTTAACTTTTTAGCCATTCGCTTTCATAACATGGAATTTAACAATAAAATGTACCAGAAGGTGACTATTATAAGGGAGAAAACATTGAAAGATAATATAGAAGCTTGATTCCTCCACTTACTAAAGGGACTTTGAGTATTTAATGACTGCTTTATAGTCGAGTTACTGTAAAATAAACTAGTAACACTACATAGTCTATTAGGACCATTCCAACTCAACTCAATGTTTTGATTCTAAAATAAATATTACATTTAAAAATTTAAATAGAAAATAAAGAGTATTTATTAGTATATTTTATAAATGCTAATTTAGAGTTTGTTTGGAATTATGCTTATGCATGAGTTGTATTATATTATTGAAAATCTATATTTCTGCAGAAGTTTCTGATGAGAAGGTGATGCTAAGCATCCCACAGGCCTCAGGTCTGCTGGGCTTACCTAGAAGTAGTACATTTCAAAGGGATCATCTCACTGGCCTGAGTGGTATCCCTTGGGGTAAAGTATATCTCCGTTTGGATAAGGAGCGTATCCTCAGAAACAACCTAGGAGGATACAAAATTGAAGTTCAAGGTATTTCAAATAACAAAGTAGGTGTGCACACATTTAAATAGGAAGAAGAAAACTTTAGATCTCAAAAATGGCGACTGTCTCCTCTTCAGCATCCTTACACAAAGACCTCATAATTCAGGTCAGACAAGGAGTATTTTCTGCAAGCGTGGACTTAAAATGTGGGGGGTGAGAAGGTGGTGTTGAAATCTTAATACCTAGGAGTGAACTTAAACTATCACTTAGCGATATATTTATAATTCATTACTGAAAAGATTTTTCAATTGTTCTAAGAGAGATTATTTTGAGGTCAAATAACAGAGTGGTTTAAAGCACAAGCTTATAGTTTGGCATCTAAACTTGCCAACTAGCTGTGCATCTGGGGGTAAATGGTTAGAGTATATTCTAAAGCACCAGTTCCCTAATTTCCTTTTTCTTTCTTTTTGGTTGTTTGTTTTATGGTTTTCGTTTGTTTTTCGAACCAAAGTGTTGCTATGTTCCTTTGACTAGCCTTAAACTCACAGTTCCCCTTCCTCAGTCTCCCTAGAAGCTGAAATTATGGTTCACCCTATTGCCCCTGGTTTAGTTTCCTGATATCTACAATAAAGGCAACACCTTATCTGTAGGTAGCTATTATAGTTAGTGGCCCAAAGTATTAATGTAGTATGAATATAAATTATTTGAGTTTGGGAGCCTATGAGAAGACAATATCCCAAAATAACAACACAGCTTAAGATTTGTGCTTGCTCAGATAGCCAATAGAAATTTCTTTCCAGTGACAGTCCATGTCCCATATTGAGTATAGGTAGCTTTCAAATGACCGAGCGTTGAATGTGATACATGTTCCCTGGATTGGTGGCCTTCCACGTTGCGAGTCCTGAGTGAAATTTAAAACTGTTTGCTAAGCTTCAGGGAAATACAATAGTAGTATAAAGACTTAAAATCAAGTCTCCAACCAGTCTGCATATCTATGCTCTGAGTATTAACAGCCAGATATCCAGGAAGGGGTAGATGAGGAACTCGGTTATCCTCTACCCATAAGTTGCTATAAGTAGGACCAAAGATAGGTTTTTTTCAAAAAGGACAATTTTAATCATAGACATAAAAGTGTGACCAAACATTTACTATTTTCACAAACAACCACAGTTCTTACCTTTGTCCTGATGCCACAACTAAAAACAGGGTAGATAAAATGATATATGTATGTGTGTATCTGAGTTGCAGGGCAGCCTGATCCCAGACACAGTTCATCATCGAATATATACAGATTTCTGCTTTGTGAAAGTGGGCTAACCGAGACCATCACCCAGTCCAAAGAACAACTTATCTGTACTGTGGAAAGAACCATACGAGAAAGTGTCAGGTATAAAGAGCTCAAAGAACATTCAACTCTGTCTTTTGTCATAAATAAAAGCATTTCTTTTCTTTTCTTTTTTTCTTTTTTTTTTATTTTTTAAAGAGAGATATTTTTGCTATCGGGTGCGTGTACTTGTCAAAAAGACAGACAGAAAGCAAGAACTCACCCCTGGAAGGTTACCATACCGCAATCCCTTCTCCTTTATTTTGTTCTTGGGATTTGGGGCACACACACACACATGCACCTGGTGTGGGCTTCAAGCTGTTGGGTCCAGGACTCGAACCACAGTTGGTACATGGGAGTCCAGCACCTTAACCACTATACCACCTGCTGGTCCCTAGAAAGCATTTCTTCTCTGGCAGAGGCTACCATGGCTTAAAAAATAGCATAGACAGGATTTTTATGTTACCACTATTTTCAAAATATGTCTAATTTTGTCCCCCAAATAATTAGACTTTGGTTATTATTTTTCTTTGAGATATTTTTGCTATAAGGAGTGTGCACTAACCAGAGAGAAACAGAAAGCAAGAAATCATGCCCCTCCCTGGGGGCGGGAGGGGGTAATGGCCACACTGCTATCCCTACTCTTCCATTTTCCTCTCAGGATTTTGGGCATGCATGCACACGCGCCCAAAATGTAAGTTTTCAGCCACCAGGTCCGGGACTTGAACTGTGACCCACTACGTGGGAGTCCTATGATGTAACCATTACATCCTCTGCTGGTCCCAGATTTTGGTTATTTTGCAGGAGAAAAAAAAAATCAACAAGCAAGGCTAAGAAAATATAATAATTGTATAGCCCCGTGTTCCTCCTAAAGAAATTAGATTTTGGACCAACCAGTGACATGGTTGTTAGGGTGACTGGATCACACATGACCAACTGTGCAGCTCAAATGCTGGACCCAGTGGCTCAAGAAACATGCTAAGTATCTGTATGTGTGCCCCAAATCCTGAAAGGCAGGAGAGACAGAGATGGAATTATAGCCTGACCATCCTTTGTGAGGGGTGCTTTCTCACTTTCTCTCTTTCTCTCTAGTAAGAGCATGTGCCCTTTAGCACATTTATAAAAAGAAAGTGAGCAAAAGAGAATAAACAAAAAAGATAAGAAAGAAAGAGAAAAGAAGAGAAAGAAGAAAGAGGAAGGAAGGGAGAGAAGAAACTAGATTCCATAGAGGGTGATATACGTCATACTACACATGAGGGACAGAAGTAAATGGCAATGCTTTAGAATATGAGTGACACATTCCCAGTATACGCTCTGAAGAGGGAGGAGCAGAAAGGATGTTGCTGGTATAGCAGAACCTACGTCTAGAGAAGCCGGAACCAGAAACGATCTCAGTCGGAAGAGAGAAAATCTACTGTTTGGTATGGAAGCTCTATGAAAGCTTTTGTTTTAAAACCTATTCTTATCTTCTACATTGAAATCATCTATAAGTCAATAATAATCATTATTTGATGAATTCCTTTAGAGAAAGTGAGTCTTCGCCAGCCAGAAAAAATACAGATTTACATGATTAATGAGGAAGTGACCACAGAGACCTCCAACACTGTAGAGACTGGAAGCCCTTGTTTCTTACAGATAAATCATTATCAGGAAAGTTAGAAAATGTGTGTTTGGGAAAAGGTGGGGTGGGGGGGAGGTTGCAGGTGTTCTCCATCAGTGACTGTCACCTCCAAAGCACGTCTCTCCACTCTAACATCCTCTAGATAGGATGAGCAGAAGACCTTTCTGAAGAAAACAGTTTCCAACATCTGGGATTAAAAGTGGGTTAAAAAGGATGAGGGGGCACAAACACACAAGAAGTCCATGTTTCGAATTCACTTCTTTTTATCACATGAATATTAGAGTCAAGTTGTTTCAGTCTGGCATGTTGAGGTGGTCACTGAAATGGCTAGAAAATTATTTGAGAAAGCATAAGCAATGCACACAGCTCCTGAACACAACTGAGGCAGAATCTTTCTCATACCCAAGCAAGAGGGCCTAGGCACCAAACTCTCCCTGTCCCAGGTAAACAGAGTTCACTGGTCTCTACCCCGTCTCTGCTTGTTCATTATTAAATGAACTGTTCAATAATTAACAGTTACTCGGTGAGCTGCACCAATCTAGGCATCCTGAAAGACACATTTTAGGTAAAATGAGAGAGTATCAGAAGCTACACATAGTGCTTGCTCGTGAAAGGTTTACAGGCTAAATGGACAAATAAAGGTACATACTGTTGACAGTTCAAACAGAACAAAACCAACAAATCCACTTAAAGACACAAATACACATGTGCGTACACACACAAAGAACAGAAAGCAACACTGAAATGCTGCCTTAGCGTAAATGACAACTAGTGAGGCCTTAAAGCTGCGAAGCATTTGGATTCTAGATTAGATAGAAGATACACTGGCTTCAGCTCGTAGAAAGCAGGCATGATTGAGTTAGCTTTATCCTATTGGTTTTGCAGAACTATTGCTGACTTTGAGCAACAGGTCAGAGCAATATTTTTAAAAGCAGAAGAGCAGAATCACACCAAATGGAAATATGAAGAGCCTAGAAGCAGGAAGGTCAATTAGGTACCATGAAGTATCTTACAACACATTGTAATCAAGTACCAGTCAAGACACGGGTTTGACAAGACTGACTAAAACCGTAGAGCCAAGAATTGTTTCTGAAGAACCTCTGTAAATAAGTTAGAGAGAAGACCAAAACAAATGAGAAAAAAAAAAAATCCTGGGAACTCATTTCCTCTCAGGATTTTGGGCATGCATGCACACGCGCCCAAAATGTAAGTTTTCAGCCACCAGGTCCGGGACTTGAACTGTGACCCACTACGTGGGAGTCCTATGATGTAACCATTACATCCTCTGCTGGTCCCAGATTTTGGTTATTTTGCAGGAGAAAAAAAAAATCAACAAGCAAGGCTAAGAAAATATAATAATTGTATAGCCCCGTGTTCCTCCTAAAGAAATTAGATTTTGGACCAACCAGTGACATGGTTGTTAGGGTGACTGGATCACACATGACCAACTGTGCAGCTCAAATGCTGGACCCAGTGGCTCAAGAAACATGCTAAGTATCTGTATGTGTGCCCCAAATCCTGAAAGGCAGGAGAGACAGAGATGGAATTATAGCCTGACCATCCTTTGTGAGGGGTGCTTTCTCACTTTCTCTCTTTCTCTCTAGTAAGAGCATGTGCCCTTTAGCACATTTATAAAAAGAAAGTGAGCAAAAGAGAATAAACAAAAAAGATAAGAAAGAAAGAGAAAAGAAGAGAAAGAAGAAAGAGGAAGGAAGGGAGAGAAGAAACTAGATTCCATAGAGGGTGATATACGTCATACTACACATGAGGGACAGAAGTAAATGGCAATGCTTTAGAATATGAGTGACACATTCCCAGTATACGCTCTGAAGAGGGAGGAGCAGAAAGGATGTTGCTGGTATAGCAGAACCTACGTCTAGAGAAGCCGGAACCAGAAACGATCTCAGTCGGAAGAGAGAAAATCTACTGTTTGGTATGGAAGCTCTATGAAAGCTTTTGTTTTAAAACCTATTCTTATCTTCTACATTGAAATCATCTATAAGTCAATAATAATCATTATTTGATGAATTCCTTTAGAGAAAGTGAGTCTTCGCCAGCCAGAAAAAATACAGATTTACATGATTAATGAGGAAGTGACCACAGAGACCTCCAACACTGTAGAGACTGGAAGCCCTTGTTTCTTACAGATAAATCATTATCAGGAAAGTTAGAAAATGTGTGTTTGGGAAAAGGTGGGGTGGGGGGGAGGTTGCAGGTGTTCTCCATCAGTGACTGTCACCTCCAAAGCACGTCTCTCCACTCTAACATCCTCTAGATAGGATGAGCAGAAGACCTTTCTGAAGAAAACAGTTTCCAACATCTGGGATTAAAAGTGGGTTAAAAAGGATGAGGGGGCACAAACACACAAGAAGTCCATGTTTCGAATTCACTTCTTTTTATCACATGAATATTAGAGTCAAGTTGTTTCAGTCTGGCATGTTGAGGTGGTCACTGAAATGGCTAGAAAATTATTTGAGAAAGCATAAGCAATGCACACAGCTCCTGAACACAACTGAGGCAGAATCTTTCTCATACCCAAGCAAGAGGGCCTAGGCACCAAACTCTCCCTGTCCCAGGTAAACAGAGTTCACTGGTCTCTACCCCGTCTCTGCTTGTTCATTATTAAATGAACTGTTCAATAATTAACAGTTACTCGGTGAGCTGCACCAATCTAGGCATCCTGAAAGACACATTTTAGGTAAAATGAGAGAGTATCAGAAGCTACACATAGTGCTTGCTCGTGAAAGGTTTACAGGCTAAATGGACAAATAAAGGTACATACTGTTGACAGTTCAAACAGAACAAAACCAACAAATCCACTTAAAGACACAAATACACATGTGCGTACACACACAAAGAACAGAAAGCAACACTGAAATGCTGCCTTAGCGTAAATGACAACTAGTGAGGCCTTAAAGCTGCGAAGCATTTGGATTCTAGATTAGATAGAAGATACACTGGCTTCAGCTCGTAGAAAGCAGGCATGATTGAGTTAGCTTTATCCTATTGGTTTTGCAGAACTATTGCTGACTTTGAGCAACAGGTCAGAGCAATATTTTTAAAAGCAGAAGAGCAGAATCACACCAAATGGAAATATGAAGAGCCTAGAAGCAGGAAGGTCAATTAGGTACCATGAAGTATCTTACAACACATTGTAATCAAGTACCAGTCAAGACACGGGTTTGACAAGACTGACTAAAACCGTAGAGCCAAGAATTGTTTCTGAAGAACCTCTGTAAATAAGTTAGAGAGAAGACCAAAACAAATGAGAAAAAAAAAAAATCCTGGGAACTCAAGACATTCAGTCAGAAAGAAATGTGTTTTCAGTTTATTGGTACCAGTTTACTTAGCCTGAAAATATTTCTCTTCTAGCAAATTATAGTAAGATCAGGCCTCTGCAGGGAAGAGAGAGCCTGCATGGACAGTGATCATGATGAATACCCCCTCAAGAAAACATTCTCGGGACCAGCAGTTAGCATAATGGCTATGTCGCTGAACTCCCACGTTCAAGTCACAAACCCGGTGGCTTAAACTCACGCCAAGTGTGTGTGCGTACGTGCCCAAGATCCCAAGAGGAGAAGGGAAGAGAAGGGATTGCAGCGTGGCCATCCGCCCCCACCCCAGGGGGTGATTTTTCGCTTTCTGGCTCTCTCTGTCTTTCTGGCGAGCACACACGCCCTATAGCAAAAACCTCTCCAAAAAAAAGGAAAAGAATAGAAACATTCTCCAAAACTGGTTATTTACCATCAAGGTTCTCGACATAAGGGCAAATTAAGGCAGCAAGGAGAGTCAGGACCTCTGGCATCCTAGTGACCTTCATCTTGACAGAACTCTGGCACAGGACGACTGAGAACTAGGAAGTGGTGAGGTGTTTAAGTGATTTTATACGACGGGCATTCTGTACTCAGGTGCTTTCATTTTGCCACTTATCTGGGTACTTCATGCCGAGCACTTAACTCAGCGTCAACTATTTGAAGGCAGACACTCTTCTGATGACCCAAACAGTAAAGGCCAAAGAGGTATATCAGTAAAAAAGGCTTTTTTTGACAACTGTCTGCACGAGGTTTGTTGAGATTGTCTCAGAGGGTGGCATGGCACACACCACTTCCAGTAAATACTAAATTGTAGGCAATCGTTTATGCTAGCTAGTGGTCAGGTGTTGTCAATTTTCATCTAATATATGAACAGCCAAAATCATACATATCTGCCTTCTTTGTTTTTATGGGTTTGGCTGGAAAAATTACAGCAGAAATGATAAAATAACTTGACCAGAAACATATATGGGGAGTCTTCAAAAAGTTCTTAGAAATACGTATTATAAAAAAACCCAGCACACCAGCCCAGTGCTTAGTGGTCAAAGGAGCTAGATCCCACATGGCTAGCCATAGTTTAAGTCCCAGCCCCAGTTGCTTGAAGGACATGCTGGGAGCATGTGTGTGCATGCCCAAGGTCTCCACAGGATGGAGAAATGGAGGAGGAGCTGTGGTGGGGCTAAGTTTCAATGGAAGGATGCTTTCTTCCTCTCTGCGTCTCCTTGTGGGGAGCATGCACACCCTCTGGTAATTAAAAGGAAAAAAAGAATCTTTGCATGGATTTCAAATTTTTTCAACAAAAATAAACACACTTTAATTCTATTTTTCCAATCATTTTTTGAAGTTCTCTTCATTATCTTTAAGAGATAGGAGCCCAAAAGAAAATCAGCTTTCTTGGTATCAGGATAATTCACAAATCTATCCCTCGTGATTCTTCAAAAATTAATATATTAGTAGCTTTGGTCATTTCAAGGTTTATAATTTGATAAAAGGACATTTTATATACATGTAGGTATACATACACACACACACACACACACACACACACACACATATATTGGGTTGTCGGGGAAGTCATGATGGATATCTGTCATGGCTTTCCCGACAACCTAATTTATATGATTTTATATGTAGTCTATGTAGTATAATGAATATTTCAATACTTAATTTGAATAGAAGTTCCAGCTAAAACTTTTGTATTGTCTAAAAATGTCAGTCATGATGGCTACTGTGAACTAGATTTTTAAGG